TGCTGGCTTTCAGAAATGTCAATGCTGCATGTAGCTTGTGACCTGGTCACACGTAGTCCTGCCCACTGCTTTCTGGATTGACATCACTGAGCCATAAATGAGGGAGGATTTGGCTCAGTCAGGGAAGCTTGTGCAGCACATAGTAACTGGATTTGGTACTTCCTTACACTTTCACACAGAAGTTTTTACTGTATTGTAAACTGAACGCTCAGTTGGGTTTCACATTGGGATTGGGTTTTAGCATTTTTTCAAGTTAAGCATTTCAAAAAATTAGGTTTTAAAATTGTTTTCAAGTCTGCCATGCAAATTTAAGATTTTGAATTGGGCACTTTAATAAAGAATATATATTTTAGACCATTTTTTCTTTGTATTTTAAAGCGCACCTGTGCTCTGATTATGGACATGAAAGTATTTAAATAGCAATTTAAAACAAATCCTTGCTACCTCAGTAGCTATAGCCATTGTGGAGAAACTCACCTTCAAAGTTCACACAGATGCACTGAACATGCACAGCTAAGTTCCAATTATTTGCCACATAGTAGAATCAAGCCTCTTAATACAAACACACAGGTGGTGCTTATTAGCTCATAGAAACCAACTGAAACATAACTTCTGTGTCTTTGGGAATGAATTACTCCACTGTACATGCAGCTACAGAGATCAGTAAAGACTTGTTTCAAAGGAGAATTATGGTATGAGTGAAATACACTCATCCCAATAGTTAGAGCAGATGTGTGATACTGCAGCTGTCAAACCCTTGCTCTATTGATCAAGAACTGAGCGATTACATCGCTGACCGCTCAGAGCACAATCTTCTCCCTTCAGGGAGTGGTCACTGTCAGTCACCACTCCCCGCATGGGTGGGCCCTGCCTCTAGAGAGGGGTGGATCCCAACAATATTGTTGGGATCTTACTCAGCTCAGCAATATTGTTGGGCTCTGAGCTGTCAGCATATAGTGGGCAGTAGTCTGCTATTTGCTGAGTTTTGGGTCAAAGGAGGACATTAGTAAATCTACTCCTGTGACCCTAAAGAGAACTACAGACAAAAAAGGTTTGGCCATAGTTCTCTTTTAAAGTTCTTTTACTGCTTGCTAAGAATATTTAAATGCCCACATTCTGGGCACAGGCACATTTTAAGCTGGGAAGATACAAAAGGGCACCAACCTGAGAAATCTATTTTACTCAATTTTACTCATGAATTTTGCAACTAAGTCACAAGCATTTCTATTAATACAGCTCATACTTGCGTTTAATGTTTCATTCTGTCATCAATACATACAAATTTAAGATTTTGTTTCCAGTTTTACAGATGTTTTGTTACCCTTCTAAAATGCGAATCAGAACTGCACGACAGCGACGCCACTTATAATTCACGACAAAGCAAAGAGCTTCAGATTAAGGAAAATGGCAAGATGGTTCAAAGCAGCTTTCACCAGCCAAGGAAGGAAACAGCATCTTCAATCACAAAGCAACAGAAATTGACTCTTGTAGTGCACTACATAGATTACAGATAAACTTTTATGTGGAACCACCAGCTGGTTAATCGCAGTAGTGATTTGTAAAGCAAAAAGAAGAAACATTTTTTAAATGTGTCTCTTCAGAGTTTGGAAAAGAGACTGTGTGAGCAGACTGGGTGCTTGGGTGCTATTATGTGACACATCAGAGTAGAACCATTATCATTACTGAGAGTGCTACTGTAGGAGTCTGATGTGTATGAACATTCACAATCCTGTAATTGCCCCCACAATGTTGCAAAGTGTTTCCTTTGTATTCAAACAAAGGAGAAAGCTGATGTCACCATTATTTCTACTGAGAATGGCAGATATGTCAGCCGTGACAAAATTACCATCTCCTCAATGTACAAGATGTTCATCTCTACAATACAGGTTGTTTCTGTATGTATGAAGATACAAAGCTACAAATTTTCTTATGAAAAGGCCAAGCTTTGACATAATATAAGCTATTTTAATGGCATGCATTATTCTGTAAATTAAATGTATTAGAGGAATTTAAAGGATATCTGTACTTTCAGTGCATATCCGCTATTTGTCCTTTTCCCTCCTGGCTGTAAAAAAATTAATAAATGTGATGGGGTACCTGTTCTGTAACTACTAGTTGTTTCATACCTCATGGTCTCAGAATCCCTGCATCTCATGGACTACTGCTCCTGGCCATCACTAGAATATAGGAGATATGCTGCTATATAGAATGAATAAGCATACCATCTACTAACTGTTCTCTCTATTGGTGGCCTGGAGTATTTTTCACACCATTACAGCAGCATAACACATAATGCTGGAAGGCTGTAAGCTGCCCTGGGCGAAACACACTTTATGTCAAGGCAGGTGTCCCATACCTTTCCTACAAGCTGAAAGGACAAGGACAGATGGAGGACTTGCAATGGAAGTGCTTTTATCCTTTATTAATCAGGCAAAGATTCAACATTTCTCTCTGTTGAGGATCATGAACAAGTCCCATCCCCTGCAACCCTTTTACAAATCATTCAAAGTATTCCTCTTCTACTGGTATGTATTTTGTTTTGTTGCCAATAAGATGAAATGGTGTTGTACTTGACTGATTTTGTTCATTGTACTCACCAGCAAGCAGAGGCTACAGCTAAAATCTAAACTGGAGATCCTGCTCTTACTGAATTTGGGGAGTTAGTTCCTTGGAAATGTTGGTCCTCAATAATGATCTGTCATTCTGAAAATTCTAGTTGCCTGATTGTTATGCTGATCTTCTTGGTTTAGTGCCTTAAGTTATTGACCTGAAATAAGTATCAGTGACTCCTAAAATATTGAATCCAGTGGGCCAGCAGAATACTCAGGAAGTTTGTACCTTCAGAAGGAGTTAAACACTGGCAGCTCCTCTTTAATTCTCATAACAGGTTTACTTACAGAAGTGTATATTGTGTAAGAAAAATATATTTGTCTGCCCGGCATTGGAATCAGTGTCGTTCATTGAAAGCTTCTATTGATTTGTGGGAGCAGATTTTTTTGCCCTGATTCAGACCTGGTGAACTACGACAGACTGAGGGGAAGATGCAGCAAAAACAGATCCATATTTTATTAAGTATTACACAGTATGTCTGTTAATATCCCTTTCCCCCAAAAATATTTGTTTTTAAAAGGTTTTGTCATCTCACCAGTTTAAATGCAGACAATGCACTCCAGGCTGAACTCCAGGCAAACAGCTTAATACAAAAATGAAATACGTATGTGAAAACCGTTTTACCTGCCAAGGGATTTGTATTTCTGTCCATCCAGTCCTGAGATCTACATATGCCTGTCATACAGCACAACCAAGCATGGCAGCATTGTTGTTACAGGTGTAGATTGTAGAATGAATAATGTTGTAACTTCTCTGCTCCCTTAGATTGTTGACTGAAAAGTAAAAAAGCAGCAGTATATTTAGTAAGTCGTCCCGCTGCTCATTCTGTAATCTCCTCCATTATCACACAATAAGACTGTTAGTGTTTAGGGAAGTGCCTGAAAATTCTGATGTCTGTAAGAGCAGCTAAATTGTTCCTGAAAACCTGACCATCCTCTGATGTCCATATCGGCCTTTAGGGGAGTTCTTCTTTAAATAAAACAGAGGCTACCATTTTATCAGATGAACAATGCACACAGTTTACAAACTATCATGATAAAAAAGCATGAAAATAATAAAATTGACAGCATGTTGATAAATACTGGTTCTATATGGAAAATTGTTAAAGATGTTATATTATTTTAGTGGGGGTCATAAACATACTGTATGTAGAATGGGACCAGTCAGCTTGAAAATGTATCTGGCAATGAATATGTTTTGTAAAACTGAAGGATTCCTATATATTGTAAATAATTGTAAATGAATGTAAATAATTTTAGGATCACTTTATACATCTACTAGTCACCGACATTTATGCAAAGAAATATTTTCACTTTATAAGAAAAATGGACATTTGTTTGATACATCATGCAACACCATTGAGGCTGACAGCCCTCACTATATGTTCAGCTGTGCCAATTATGAAATGCTTAAAATGGACTTAAATTAATATTGTGTGACCTGAACCTGGGCATTAGGTGCCACACTCCTGTAGGTAATGGTCAAAAAAGAAAGAGAAAAGCTGGAGGTTTTTAGGCATCAATTGACAACGTCCAAGACGATAAACCATAACAAATATATGTATTTGTATTGAATTATTAAAAGTGGAGTCATTTCATAAAAACAACCTGATTCGATAACTCATTACTGTTCTATCCCTTGTATATTACTCCACTTTTAATAATTCAATACAAATAAATATATTTTTTTATTGTTTATCGTGTTGGAAGTTGTCAATTGATGCCTAAAAAACCCCAGCTTTTCTCTTTCTTTTTTGATACTTAAAATGGACTTGTCAGTAAAACAGGTCAGAATACCAATTCACATTTTTTATTTTTATTTTTAAAAATCTATTTTCTTGCCATGAATTATGTAAAAGGAAACAATGAAGGCTCAACCGGCAAATGGAAACTGTATATGTGATACAAAACATATGGCAACAAATGGTCCCTATATCCAGACTCCATAAGGTACCTGTCTCTAGACATGATTTCAGAGATGGATCTGTCTGCATCTTTATGCAGTCACAAGTTTGAGAAGTTTTACACTAGGGGCCTATGCCACCAAGCCCTGGGAGCAGGTGTACTGACAGATCAGCAGAGATTTCACAAAGGGTATGCCTACCCTCCAGTCCCCATCAGTTTAAAAGTTTTCAGAAGATTACTGTCAGAAGTAGTGGAAATTGTTGAAATTATTCCCTACTGTCCGGACATGCCTTGTGTTCCCTCACCTACTTATATTCAGTTCTCGTAAACCAGTTCCTACACCTCTCAGATAAGATCTTCTGTCACAGGGTCCATCTCGCCTCCAGTTATTGGTCTGGTTCATGAAAGGGAAAAGCTAGCCAGCAAGTGTAAACAGGGTCTTCAGTATAGTATGCAAGTGTCCATGGAGTTTAAAAGATGTTACAAGTCTTTATTGAGCGGGGGAGCGTAACAATCCTTCATGCTTTGCTTTACTGTTCCCTGCATTGTGAACTGTGAAAGAGCATAGAGATAATAAGCTCAATGAAAGAGTGGATCACACACCTCCTCATTTGTTTGCCCGTGCAGTGGTTGCACCCCTATAATTATATTCAGGATCACAGGAAGCTTTTTTCCTGTAGTGAGAAACAGCTTTTATTACTCACTGTGACTTTACCATAGGGGTTGTAAACATTTTGCTGACATAAGCACAACCCCCAGAATAACATCTTTCAGTAGCTTGTGCTCTACACACAGTATGTGGGCAGGCTGCTGGGAGTCAAGGCAGCAGCATTGTTTTAGTGGGAAATAAATCAATGTATGAGTGTGGAGTGGTACAAAGAAGGAGGTCTGACAATGCTGGTTGAACTTCAGTACAGCAAAGGCACTGGGATGTCAGCCCAAACAGGAAGTCAGGAGCACACTGGATTTATGTTTAATCAACAGGTATTTTTATGCACTGAAAGCAGAACTCCAAGCAAATTATTATTATTATACAAGATTTATATAGCGCCAACAGTTTGCGCAGCGCTTTACAGTATAAGGAAGACATTACAATACAATTCAAGAAGATAGCATGGAGGGCCCTGAGCCTTGCAGTGGGGCTACTGTACTGTGTTTGTTTTGCCTAGGGAGCTAAAATAACAAAGTTATACTCACCGAGCCATGATCATGGCTCGCTCCTACACCACTCCCAGCAGCCTGTCACCTCCTCTGGTCCAGTTTTGGTATGTCCGTTGGGTATTGAACGTGATGACTTGCAGGACCTTAGATTGCTGAAGCAGAGGGGGCGTGAGGCTGAAGGGACCAGTCTAAGAGCAAGCCAGGATCATGGTTTGGGTTAGTATATCTCTGTTATTTTAGCTCCCTAGACAAAAGGAGTACTTAACACTTGCAGTGCATTAAGATTTTATTTACCTGGAGTTCTGATTTTTTTTTCCATTCACCAACTACTCAACGAACAGAGGACGTGCAGCAGTACTGTTGCTAAGAGTAGACTAAGAGAGGAAAACATTAGCCAAAGAAAAGGACAAAGGGAAAAATTGTTAGATAGAGAGAGAGAGCAGTGCACCTCGTCTCTCCCAACCCCGCCCCGCACATCCACTCAGCCAGGAGTGTTCCCCATGGGCAAGGAGCTATTCGCTCCCGCCAGGCGGGCCGCGTACTCAGGCTAAACGTGCCTTGGAGTACTCCTCTGTGGTTTGAAACTGGATCCATGTGGCCCATGTAAGTACAAATTTGTCCTGTGTGTACCTCAGGGATGAAGTCAGGTCTTCCATCGATTCAATCTCTTCAACCCTCCGCAGCCACATTGCAATTGAGGGGGGCTGTGAGCTCTTCCATTGGGCGGGGATACAGGCCCTCGCTGCATTAAGGTGGATCGCCAAGGAGCGCTTGTATGCTTTTCGTGAAAGCGGTGCAAGGTGAAGGAGAAAGACCGATGGAGTAAACGGCAGGTCCAA